GAGTGGAATAAATTATTTTGGGGTGAGACTTTTATTTTAATAGTGTGTTTTTTTTTTCACGGCGTAATTTTGGGTTCATCAATTTTTGGTTTCAATACTTCAAAAAATTATGTCAATAAAGACTTGATAAAGATTAAGGCTAAAGAATATTAAGAAGATGAAAATTGAACTTTCATTTAATTTGACTTAATTTTTCGGAATTAAAAGAATGCTGAAGGAAAGATTTTAAATTTAAATATAAATATAAAAATGTATGTATTTGCATGTTATGTGTATATTAAGATTATTCCTGTAAAGGGAATTAAAATAAAGTACTCTTCATTAACTATACCCTCAAATGAATAACAATATTTTCGAATTTAGTCAACAAACTTTTCTTCTTCTTTCTCAAAAACGAGTAAAGACAATCAAACGTTTCGAATCGCAAATATTCATATTTGTCGTAATATTAATATGATAATAATCGTCAACGTTTTTCGTAGTAGGTGATACGACTAAGGAATTCTCTCTTACCGCCTTCTCATGAATTGCATTTAAATAATCCTCCCTTCATTGCGAAATTCTTTGAGATTCCATTAGCACGTGACGTTTATTAATTGTTTGGAACTGAAAATCCATTTTCATCAAAAAAGTACGCAACTGCTTTTTGGCACAACTATTGTTTAAGTCTGTCAGTACTTTTTTATGCAGTATTTTCCTGCGAAGGTCTGCGGTTAAGGTACTGTAAAACACTTAAAACGTATTATACAAGTCTAAATTCGCAGGTTCATTTCTTGTAATTTTTTGGATGGAAATCACTCGTGTGGACAATATATGAGCATGAATCCGGGTCGAACACAGACCTCCAATACAACATAGAATGTAAAATTTAGACAATTAATTCTCTGCTCTGGTACTACTGTGTCGGTTGTATGCGACGTTGCGGGAACGTGCGATTTGCGATCGTGCAAGTTCAGCCCAATTATGAAATTTACGACATTTTGGAAGAACGTCAGAGAACAAGAAAATGAAGTCTAGGAACTATTTCGTGAGTCAAAAAAAAAGTTATACGTGTAACTAGTGAAGTTTCATCCGTGCCGGTCAAATTTTGATCAAAAACATCAAATCAAAAATTAAAAAAAAATCATAATGCCTTGCTCCACAAATTTTAATAGCAAATTCGGTTCTTAGGTTAACTTTCTTTCACGTTATTATTTTGATAGACTTAAAATGTGCGACAGATTCACAGCAACACAATGCCAAAAAACGTATATCTATCCAAATAATAATACAAACTGCAATTTAAAAATTTTACAAATTCAAAAATCACATTTGTACTTTAGGAAAACATCTTATCTTTTGAACCGTTTATCGGAATGTAAAAATTCTTGAACCAGAATACGGACGACATTTATAACGTGTACCGCTTGTGGTCAAAAATTAAAAATTGAGTCTGAGAATCAAAATTGTCCGTAGCTAAGATCCCACGATTCAATTGGTGCAATTTCGGTATTTAGGCGGTACCGAGATCTATCTGCATATCATACCGATCATCAAAATATGTAAAAAATTCGCAGTTTACAACTCCAAATTTGGCAGGGCTGAAAGTCTACTTTCACATTTAACCTGTAAAAACTGGGCACCATCAGACTTTGGAAAGTTTTGTTTTTAAATTTTGTAAATGTTTTTAGGGTTATTTTTTAAACCAGAAAATGATATCTCGGAAACGAGACCCCTAGAACTTTTACTTCAATATTTTTTCCGATTATAATATAAGCACTTTATTTTGCAATCTTAAATCAAATAACATTATAACCAAAAAAAAAAAAAAAAGGTGAAAGAAAAGGATAATACTTGTCAGTACGGATAACCCGACCCCAATTAAAGTTGCCTAAGTAACTCCTGGTGACCGTCATAATATAAATAATTGTTCCAAAAGAAACGGACAATCCATTCCGTGATAAACTAACTTGTAGAGAAATGATACAGATTGCAAGTCTCTGCGTATGCTCAGAAGCAGTACAGTACTCCCCTCTCAGGATAGGAACCCTCCTCCGTGAAAATTAGATACTTCAGTAATCTTCTCTGCAGGCTCTCAATGGACTGAGCGTGGCCGTTATATATTGATGACCATACAAACGAACCATAGTCAAGCTTGGACCTAACGTAACAGTTAAATAACAATTCAATAGTAGCTGAACTACAAAAATGCCTGCAATTTCTTAATTTCTTATTACGAATCCTAAAATTTGCATTGCACTGGAAACCATTTTAGTAACAATTTATTTTTAGTACACCAATGACTGACAATATTGATGCTGACCTGGAGAGACATCCAGTCCGTGCTGGTTTTAGTGCAGTGATATGGTTTCAAGTCATCCACATAGGCAGATGATCAAAGATATGAGATCGTCTATAAATATGTTGAACAGAAGTGGTTCAGGGTTATTATTATGTACGTAATGTACAGGGCGTGTCGGTTATAGAAAAAAAACTAAAGGTTGTAACGAAATAAATTTCGTTACAATATGATTTCAATTAGACATCAGATTTATCGGTTTCCGTACCGCTTGTAACGTGTGAGTGACGTACACACAGTAAGTAGGTCAACCTCTATTCTGAGATACATTGTTCTCTCGGAACTGAACCTATTTTGACGGTACGGATATAAAACGGATGCGAGATCGAACCGGGCCTCTTTTTCTTTTTGGAACGGGTTCGAATTAAGATGGGAAGACATTTTTGGCGATTAGAAGAGGGCACATCGTGGTCTTGGTATTTTATAATGGTGATGTATTTGATTTTATATTTTTAATTTGGTTTGGTAATGTTAAAATTTCTTTAAACGTTCAATTTTTCAGTTTGCGACAAATAATTTCTTTTATTTTACGGGTTATGCCATAAGGCACATTTTCTTTGATTGTCATTTTTGGATTATTTGTGAAATAATAATCTCTTTTTATTTTCAAATGTGTTAGCCATCGACAGTTAAAAGTATAAATTTTGAATTTATATATTGAGCAATTTTCTGGTGCACGATATATTTTATTTTGTTTACCCACCAATCGCGATACATATCTTGTGTGTGTTGTATTGCCTTCCTGCTGCAACACGCGGTATCTTTCTAGTGTCGAGGTTGGGGGCCTCTTTCTCCCTTTATTGTGCACGATATATTTTTGCTTACCTACCAATCGTGATACGTATCTGGTGTGTTGTATCGCTCTCATGCTGCAACACGTGTTTTTTATTTTGGTATCTAGAAGGGGGGCCTCTCTTTCTCTCCTTTGCTTGTGGTAAATTGAACGCTGATACTGCCGGTTTCTTTTAGTGTAGAAAGAACATTGTGTCAGGTTGCAATTTACTCGAAGGAATTCCGGATTTATTTCCATTTAAAATCCAGTCGAAGAGACACCAAACAAAGGAGGAGATTTCTGCCAGTACTTTCAGCGAGGATTCCTGCGGGTGAGTGGTTGTTTTTTTTTTAACTTTACTGTTGTAAGAAATCATTAGTTACCACTGCTTAAACACCTGCACGTATCTCTCGATATCTGTGGTTTGAGACTCCTTCGTTTGAATAGTGTTTGATACCACCTCTCGATAACATCTAAAATTTATATTTTTAGTATTCTTTTAATGATCGATGAGCTTCATGTTCTTTTACTGATTATTTTTGCAGTTTTTATAAATACCGCCCCTCCAAAGGCAACTTAATTTCAGTCATTTGTTTATTTATTTTTTTATTAATTTGATAAATTCTATTCTTAACACGCTTCGTCGAATTGTGTTTTAATTTTTGTATTTGGGCTAAAAAAAAAAAAGCAATTTTTGTATTAATTTTATTAATTTTAAGGTTCTGTTGTAATTTTCATTTCATTGTTAGGGTACCTGAGCACCATCATCATTGTTGTAAATTATTTTTAATCATTAGTCGTTAGACCTTCAGTCTACTTTAAATTTATAAAACTGATGGTTTTGTACTCTTAAATTCCTCCGTTACAAGTTACTCCTGTTGCCTTGTTTTATTTGAGGTTAAATCATCCCGAACCGATAGTTCGAAGGACGCTGGGAACATTGGTGTGAGGATCTCGGGGAACTGCCATTCTACTTCGACATACCCTAGAAATTTGTTACCCAACCAGTCGAGCGACCAGGTTGACGGAACCAGTTGCCCCGTCCCGTGACATCTGCAGCCAGTGAAGCATCAGCAGTCAAACCTCAGACAAGTAACAGGGTACTTGTAAAGGGGTGGGAATTAATTAAGTTGTAGAATCCATGAAGAATTAAATTTTAACTGTTTTATATCATCTTCTGATTCTGAGACCTTGTTTGCCTCCAAATTTTTTTTTTTTAAACAGTAGGAAGCTAGATTTGTCTGTTTCCTAACTTTCAATTTTGTTCCGTTGTATAAAAAAGGACTGACGCCCGACAAAATAAAAGAAAAAAAAAAGGAAACAGATAACCTGAACCCCGCCCTTCCCGCTATCAATCTGAGCAGCCCAAAGGCACTCCGTTTGGTAAAGTTCTGCACCCGATACCACGGGTTAAAGAATTTTACTTTACAAGGTATTTAAAAATTACCGTCTCCGAGGATGAATTACTAGCTCTAAAAGAAAAAACGTAAATAAGGGAGCAATTTGGTTTAGGCAGTGATGACATGAGTTTGAAATTAGGTTCAGAGCATATTTAAACGGCATTTTATCCAGACTGCACGCAAAAAAAGTCATTGATTTTGCGAAAGTTAGTAGAAACATGATAGAACGGCATGTGAAGCGGCTTCTTAGAAAAAAAATGGGAAGCACAGTGTCCTTATTTTCTAACCGAATCGACTCACCAAATACTATACGACTAACATAACCTAATAAAACCGAGATTCTAAACTGTTTCACTCAAGTAACAATACGCGAAAAGGTAAAGATAAAAATTAGCCACAAATCCAACCGAAACGGGATCCTGCGCCGCAGTTAAGGGCGTCGTATGGTCTCCCGACGCCGCGAATTCAAACTTCAGTCCGCCACCGACGCCGTCGCGACGCACGTGTATTTATATCTCTCGCGATTCTGGTGTGATGTGTTTTCCTGAAAAGTTCCAACGCCATCGGAGAAGCGAATATCGACTTGACAGCTCGAGTGTGTGATCCGTTCGAGTACTTCGCTGGATTTTCTAATGAGCCGGCAGGGTGTGTGTTGTTGACGTCGCTTGACTGGAAGTAAATTGCGTAAATTTGTAATTAATAAATCGTAAAATGTACAGGTGAAAGTTCGAAGCTGATTAGTAAAACGAGGTAAATCTGGTGTAAATATTTCGTTTTAATTATCAAATAAAAATGATTTAAGCTTATCAATTTATTTTCCGCCTATAATCTTGGACAAAAACTGGAGCCAACAACTTTGTGAATTCTGATGTTGATAAAGTCAAGGGTTTGTGGTTGGAGTTTCCTGATAATGAACGCTTTGCGAACCATGTAAATTAAGTTCGTCAAATATCATCGTACGTATTGATCTAAATTAAATTATCTCGCCCAACTATGCATTGATGACTTGGATTTTATTATTGATTTCGCCAATTGTTTTGCGATAATATCAGTCGGTATAGTTAATTTGCAGTTACCAGTGAAGTTTCCGTTTTTGCCGCCCGAGAAGGGGAGGAGGATTACACCTCAGGCGGGTACTATTTCAAAGTGACTAAAATTACATTAATTAAAATTAACCATACAGCTACGAGAACTCTTTTCTCATAACTTTTTTAGACCAAACTTCGCCCATAATTTGCAAAAATGTAATTTGGAAATAAACCAAACTGAGATATAATATTTTTAAAATAGCTGATGGGTTATATGGGATGTAAGTGAGTCAAATTTTCTTTATACTATATATGTTATAGTGAAAGTCGTCAATCCGACGAAAGTTACATGTCGTATGTCCAATATGGGTTTTTTTATCGAATGAGGATAACAAAAACTCAACATGTTAGGGTAAAACATCCGAAAAGTTTTTAAATTAACATAATAAAATTGTTGAACTTGAAACAAACACGACAAAAATATTTTTATTATAAGAAATAAAATTAAAAAAAAGGAAATGTTTGTTAACCTTATTTGTTACAACAATTCAAACTACCATATGTCGATATTCACTAATTTCGAGCCGTCACATATGTACTATATTTTTTGATTTTTTCGACTTCTTGGGACAGTACAAAATTTCCAGAATTTCTCTATAACTCTTTTATTCAAAAAAATTTCTTTTTGCTAACTAAAGTTTTCCCTTCTTTAATTCAACAATATTACTAATTGTTTGAATAAAAATTCTATTTTAAAAAAGACAAATTTCTGACCTCTAAAATTTGCCTAGAAATTATATAGAGACCACAGATTTTTCGTTTTAAATTTATGATTTATTTTATATATATTATTTATATTTATTTTATTATGATTTATGATTGCCCCCTCTATTCAATGAACCACACCTTTTTCTCAAAAATTTTTTTTTGGATTTTTTTTAAGGGGGAGGGGGGTCAAAAAATCCCACTAAAATTCTCAAAAATCCAAAAATTTTGAGTTTTCGAACGATTAGATCAAATTGACCTTCAAATTGATGGTATATATAGTCGACTGTATTTGGTAGACGCTCTCATCACGTAGTACACTCTCTTTGGTGAATATCTTAATAAGCAATTTTATAAATTTTGCACTGATAGATAATGGCCAATATTTAACAAGGTGTGCTATGCTATACTAAAATCTTTCTTGTTTGGTATATAAAGTACATTCCAAAACATTGGGGTAAAAGCATTTGTTTTTCAAATGATGCCAATAAATTATAATTTTATTTGCGTTATTGGGCTTTGAAAAAACTCAATTTTATAAAATTATGTAGGGATATTGATATAGTGGTTTAATCTTTATACCTCTAGATAGGTACTGGTACAGTTTCGTTCATAAAAAAACCCATACAAGTTTTATGATTAGTTTTTGCATTACTTAAGCAGTTCTAAACAGACTTTTGTGCTTATTTCTATGACATTTAAACATGTTTGGCTGTTGCACTTTTAAAAATAAATGTGAAAAATAAAAAGGAACTACCAGAAGAAGAACTACTTTTCGGATTATCTGCTAAATATTTGTTGAAAACTTAATTTTCTGGACATCATGTCATTTCGCCGTGATTAGCAAAATTTCCTTTAATACTTTACAAGAGCACAATAAAATTGAGATTAATTATTTTATTAGTCTCCATCATTTTGAACGGAGTTTAGCAGGTATCATCCTATTAGCTGCAAGTTGTAAGTTTACAAATTGATTTCCACACATCAAAAGTGCTCCAATCCTCATATTGGTTAACAGAAAACGACAATCGTAATAAAATACTCTCAAAATAGATGAACGGTTGTAGGAATTTGAGAGCCACACTGCGTACTAAATAATGAAAGCTTAATTATTATTGAAATATGTTTTTATGGGTTTTAGGATCTTGCGGGCAATAAAACCGAGCTTTCAATTAGCCGACGTTCCGAAATATATAATTTCTTCTTCAAGGATCTATAACAAAATTATATATAATATATTGTTTATATCTTATTATTATTATTATTATTATTATTAATTTTATTTCGTTATCTCAAAATCCGGTATGTATTGTTTTTGTTATTAGTAAAAAATATAAGGCGACACTTGGAAATTCAAAACATAGTTTTTGGTGTTTAAATATCTGGAAGAGAACGCCGGCACCATTTTACTAGAAGATATTTTATTTGCCGGTCGATTTAGAAACAGCAACGGCAATATCAACATCAAAATGTCAATTCAAGTTTACTTGTTTTGTTTATATGAACCAAGCGCAATCGCGTCAAGTTTATGAATAATGTAAATTCTGCTAATTATGTTACGCCGCCATAGTCGATGTTTCCCTGATTTGTAACTGGTTTGCATAAATCAATGTATCCGAATTTGTCAACAGCAAATAAGCCACACATGCCAAGTCCTATGATATATGTAATAATTATCATTAATTCAATTAAATTTGAAACAAAGCAAAATGGATTTTGTTTTAACTGTTATTAATAAAATGTCTATATTTCAGATGACGTATACGAGTATATATAATTGGTATGGCCCCACATTATATTTATATAAGTTTTCATTGTTTATTAATACGTATTTGAAATTTGAAAATTTTGTTGTTATTAGCATTGATGCCTAATGAACACTCTTGTTGTTTTCATATAGATCTATTGCATGAGTTACCTCATTAGCGAAGATCCAAGAATGCTGACCCAGCATTGTCCTATTTCTACATATAAAAACGTAGTTTAACGGTGTCGACGCAGAGCGTTCTGTCTAGATATGTTATTGTAACAGACCATTTTAAACGGTTGTAAATTTAAATAAAGTTTTTAAAAAAGGCAACGGTCGTCTCGAGTAGTTAATTGGCGCAGTCGTGGTAGGATTTCCATAAATTGACTAGCGCACTGCGCCGCGACGTCGATTTTTCGTATCATCGATTAATTGGAAATCGAGTCTATTGGTGATTAGTGTTTGGCAGAGTGGATTTCTGAAAATCGAAAACCCCAGTCTATCGAAGACCTGTACAGAACACGATCATCGGAAACTAGAAACCATATCGTCTAGTTTCGCAAGGACAAGAATTTTTGTGAAGACCAATGTCGCCGATCTAAATATGTTATTGTAACAGACCATTTTAAACGGTTGTAAATTTAAATAAAGTTTTTAAAAAAGGTAACGGTCGTGTCGAGTAGTTAATTCATGTTATACCGTAGCATAAAGGGCAATTTTCGGGGTTTGTGTTGGTTACTGATATAAAGAGTTGTTTGTTTTTTTTTTTAGAAATTCACAAAATTTGCAAATTTTAGGACACTAAATTGCTAATTATGGAAAACTGAAGTAGCGACAAGAAGCGGAAAAAATTGTATTTCATTGCATTTCAAACCCGACAAAAATTAGCTGAAATATTCATTTTTTGTTTTTGAGTGTTATGGATCATTAGGTATCCTATAATAAATTAAATTTCTAATTATGTTTTTGTTGTCGATGCATCAGCTATGCTATAAGGTCTTAAAAATTATGTTTTGTTTCACAATCGAAATTTTTTTTAAAATATGGAAATTAAAAAATACTGAGGTCCTATTTATATAAAAAGTAATAATTTTCACACCCGGAAATCCAATAAAATTACATGGTAATAATCGGAATCTAGCAATCACAGGAACTACAGCGGAGGAACAACCACGGTGCGATGCACAAGAAAGTAAGAGAAGTGACCGGGAAAATCAAAAGCAAACAAACGACATCAATCGTCAATAACAACAACAGATACATCCATGACCCGAGGAACTTAAGAAATACTGGGAATCCTATATACAAAACCTATTTGAAAGTGCAGATACAAGAGACTATGATATAACCAGAGAACTAGAGACCGCGCCAGAGATTCTCAAGGAAGAAGTAATTCGAGCCATCAGAATGTGTAAAGCGGGAAAGAGTGCTGGTCCAGATGATATACACATAGAAATAATAAAATTACTGGACGAAACAAACATAGCAATTCTTGTGAAGCTTTTTAATAATATTTACAGAACAGGCATAATACCCGAAGGCTGGCTGAAATCCATGTTTATACCTATACCGAAGAAAACGAACGCGAAGAAATGCGACGAGTACAGACTAATAAGCTTGATGAGTCAATTACTTAACTATTTCTAAAGATTGTTCATGCAAGAATATATAAGAAATGCGAGCAAGATATCAGCCAAACGCAATTCGGCTTCCGTGAAAACTTGGGAACCAGAGAAGCCTTATATAGCATGACAGTCCTTTTTCAGAAATGTAACGATCGACAACGGAAGATCTAGGCTTGCTTCATAGATTATGAAAAGGCTTTTGATAGAGTGGAACATGTACAACTCATTAAAATGCTAGAAAGAAAGGGATTAGACAAACAAGACATCCAGATTATCAAAAATTTGTACTGGCACCAACAAGCGTATGTTAGATTCGGTAACCTGGTAACGGACCTGGTGGACATCCAACGAGGGGTACGACAGGGATGTGTATTATCGCCCCTAATATTCAACATGTACTCGGAAAGCATTTTCGCGCAGGCCCTCTAGGAGGAAACTAATGGTATTAAGATCAATGGACAGATCATCAACAATCTGCGATATGCAGACGATACGGTGATCATTGCCGACACGCCAGAA